GACAAGTCAAACAAAATACAACTAACCATCAAATAATATCACAAAGTCCTGACTCATCAATTACACAAGTCATCAAATCCTTTGAGTCAGATTCAGAGCCTGAACAAGTTCAAATAGATCTGAACAAATACCTTAAGGACTGGTTTGAATAACTATATATAGAACTTACAAACATTATAATATAGAATACCCTTAACAACAGTTACTTCCCTTTCTTTTTCTTTTCAATTAATATTAATACTAGTGGAGTCTTGATATGCCAGTACCTACCAAGGTGGACTGCAGCAAGTCACAGAGTTTCTAATAATAGAATACTAAGTCATAGTGTTTTTTTCCTTCATAAATATATAGACTCACAATTAAATTTGAGTATATAAGCCTATATTAATGAATAAATAAAAACTCAATGGCAGGACTTCATCAGTTAAAAAAAAATAAAAAATAAAAATAAATTATAAAATGAATTATTAACAAATCATTTGTATATTTAAAATAGAATAAATATTTTTGAGATATTTAATTAAATTAATTATTGTACTATGTACAATAGATAAATTATTTATATATATATATACAGTATATATATATTTTTAAACTGGTGAAGTCCTGCCATTGAGTTATTTTTTCATTAATACAGGCTTATGTATGTAAATTTAATTGCAAGTCTATACAATTATGAAAGGAGAAAAACACTATGACTCAGTATTCTATTACTAGAAACCCTGTAACTTGTTATAGTCTACCTTAGTGAGCGCTAGCGTGTCAAAACTTCACTAGCACTAATATTGATAGAAAAGAAGAAAAAAGGAAAGTAGCTATTTTTTAAAGTTTTTTTTGTTATGTTTGTTAGTTCTATGTATAGTTCCACAAAACTGTTCTTTAGGTATTTCTTAAGGTCGATTTGGGCCTATTCTGGCTCTGAATCAGCCTCGAAACTTTTTATAACCTATGTTATTGGTGAGTTTTAGCTTCGTAATAAGGTTCGTTAATTGTTTGTTTTGCTGTTGGCTTGTTTCTTCTGATGTTTAAGTTTTTTATTTATGTTTTAACTTTTTTTACATTCTATTGTGATATCATATCTAAGTTTTCAAGCTTCTCATTTGGCTTGTCAGAACTTGTGTGTTGCTCTTCAGATTGTTTCCAGTGCTCTAGATCGGTCATTTGTTATGGTCTCTGCTACTTGTATCATATCATGTGTTATAACTCCCCTAACTATATCCTTCCATTCGATTTTGTGCCCTGTTTTTATGTTTTCCTTATGTTCTTGTGCTATTTGTGACCTCTTTCCTTTGTTTTGGATTGGCTTTGTCTATTTGTCTTTGACTCTTGCTGTGCTTTCCTCTGTCAACGCCTTTATGAACTCTTTCTGAAGTCTTGTTTATGTCGTACCATATTGAAAGATATGATTGTTGGTTTCTTTGTGCTGTTTGCAGATTTTACATTTGTTATTGGGATAAATGTCAGGACATTTTTCACTTAGTTTATCCATAGTAGGTAATTCATCTATCCATGTTTTAATTCTAAATGATTAGTCTATATGATCTCTTATATTGGTTGATATCACTGTAAGTGCTGTTAATATTAGGAGCTCCAGAGTCAGAGGCCAGTGAATTTCTTTAGATTTCTTTTGGTTCAGCCAATTCTGGTTTCTTTGTAGTGTTTGCTATTTACTTGTTCATTTGTTTTTGAATATTTTTCTCATTAGAGGCTTGATTTCGAAGTCATATTGTTTTTGGTTCTATCTGATAAGTATATTTGTTGATGTGGAGATTTGTGTATTTATTGTTATGGTGTGTTTAGGTTTGTCTGTTAAGTTTGTTGATGCCAGCTGATCTGCCTTTTTATTGCCTAAGATATCAAAGGATTCTTAACTTTTGTCCAACTGATTGCAAGTCTTTTGATTTCTATTAGGTCCCTAATGGTGCTGTTGAGGATTTGGTTTGACTGATGTGTATTTCTTTGATGTCTTCTCTATGATGAATGCTCTCCTAATATGTTGATTGCTATCGGACTATCTGTGAGGATGGTGATTGTTTTGTTTATATTGATGGTGCTTATTGCAGTCATGATAGCTATTAGTTCTGCTCTTGTGGATAAGGGTATATCATATGTCTCTGCTTGAAATTCTGCTAATTGTTTTCCCTCTTTGATGGTTATGATCCAGCCTAGTCCCATTCTGCTTTTCTCTGAGTATTTGATAAAGAAGCCATCTGTATAAATCTACAAATCATTAAGTTCACTCAGGTTTTTTGCTATAGCTAAGTGCTGATCTATAAGTCTTGAATATTCAGTTAATCTACTATGTATTAGATATATTGTTTCTGAGAATGGATTCATATATAGCTGTGGTATTGTTCTTGAAGTTATTGATTCTGCTTCTATCTCATGTAGTACTTTATTGATTCTCTTGAGAGTAGAATGCAGCCTGTTTGTCATGTGTTGTTGTTCTGTTGACTGATCTTTATGAGGATCAGCTGATTTTGAGCTTTTGTCTACTGTTACATTTACTGTTCTTGTCCTTATTAGCTCTGCAATATATTGACCTTATTCCTTGTATTGGCTTCTCAATTATTGATTATTTTTCTTACATCCTTTGTATTTGAAGAGGGGAGATATTGATAGTAGTGATATCATATAATTTGCTATGATCTTGTTTGGGTCTATCATTCTTCTTTTCCTGTAAATTGCAATTTCACTATCTGATTCTGTGACTATCCACTTGATTGTTGTTTGTAACTGGGATGGGAGAACTGGGGTATTGTTGCAGAAGCTATTGTTGATGTCACTAGTAAGAAATTCTATTATATTTGTATAAGAGTTCTGATTTAGGTCTATACATATAATTTGTCATAAGTCTTGAAACTATTCAGAAGTCCTGTCTTGTCTACCTTTCCTAGTCCTAAGTTGTTGCCATATAAAGGGTCTTGATGGATTGTTATTCATAAGCTGCTTTTTGAAAAGGATTTCTCTTTTCCTCAGAGCTTGCTGTTTCGGTCATACCATTTGCTTGATGTAATGTCTTTGATAGCTGTCTTTCCTCTCCTATGTATAGTACAGATTTTTGTATGGTTTGTTATCTCAAATGTGATGCCCTGTACTTTGAGTATATTAAGGATGTTGTTTGTGAGATTCTATCATTTTTTGATCCTGAATGGGTATTTGTCTTCTAGGATTGATGTGTTCAACATGTATTGATTCTGAAATTGTAGCAATTTGATCCATGCTGTTTTACTATATGTGTCTAATCCATTAATCCTTTTTTCCAGTTTTTTCCGTATAGTATGACCTGTTTGTCCCACATGTTGAAGAGTTTGTATCTGAAGTCTACATGAATGATGGCATTAGGAGCTGTTATGGATAAGTTGATTTTATATTTGAAAACTTTGCTATTTTGCTATTAAGTCAATTGCATTTCTATTAGATAGGGCAATGTTGTTGAGGAGGTACTCAACTGCTGGGTATAGTATGTGGTTAATTATGTATCGTACCTGTTTATCTGTGATTCTTTTTCATTTAATGAGGTTGGTAGTATTGTCAATTTTTTTCCAAATTAGTTGTTTTTGATGTTTTTTTCTGTCTTCTGAGATCCAGACTCCTAGGATACGAGCTGTTTTATTTTTTTTCAGTGGTGTGACCTTGGTTCCTGTCAGTATGACTTCTTATACCCAATTATTTTTGCTCACATTAATGCAAATAAATGATGACTTGTCTCCATTAGCCTGTATATTATTAATGTAGAGGAATTCTGATGCGTATTCAGGATACTTTGTATGTTGGATCTATTTGGAGCATATCAGGTGATGTCATCCATATATGCTATTGTTGTGATCATTTGTAATCTGGTGTATTGAGATATTCAGTTGTTATTATTCATTGCAAGGTTGGAGCTCTATGTTACTTTCATTTCATATCCCATCTTTTTGTCCTCTATCTCTTGTATCAAGAGTCATAGAAGATCCTCCACAAGAATGGAGATATAGTATTTCCTTAATCGATTTCATCTTGAACTTTGTATTCTTCTGTGTATCCATGTGCTATAATAACTTGGTTGTGTCTATCTGTTAGGGTGTTCTCTAGGATGTTGATAATTTTTTCTGAAAGTTTGATCTGCTTCAATGCCAGTATTATCATATCTTTATTTATTGAGTTATATGCCTTGCTTATATCCTGGTTGAAGATCTACACCTCTTTTTTTGCTTTTCTAGCTTCTTTCAAAAGGTTGTTTATTATGTATATTGACTATTGCATACTGCTACCTGGAAGTCCTGCCCAGTTGCTTCTTAATGTTATATGGTATTGATTTAATGTTACTACTATTCTGTTGTTTAGTATAGACATGAAAACTTTCCTTGTTGTTTCTAGGAGGGTAATTGGTTATATGATGTTAATGTCCTCCATCCAGTCTTTAGGTTTGGGGATTGAATAAATTTCTCCTTGTTTCCACTCTCTTGGGATTTTTCCTGTTTCTATTATCTGATTGTAAATTGTTCTAATAGCTGGAGGCCCTTGGGTCCTAGGTTCCTTAATATGATATATGGCATTTTTGTGGATCCCAGTGCACTGTGCTTGTTTTTTGCCTAAATTGCTTCTTGGATTTCTTGAGTGTTGATCCTGGTTATGCACTGGTCATACTATTCTGGGTTGATGTGATCAATTGGTACATATCTGCTGAGCCAGTTTGAGTAGTTTTGCAGGTCTGCTGTCTTCTCGTATCATGTTCATTCCTTGAAATAGACCTTGACTTTGGGCTTTATTTCATTTGGGTCTATGATAATTGTGGTCTCATTTGTTCTAGTGTATTTGATCAGCCTGCTTGTGTCTATCTTCCTACAGAACCTGTCTAGTATACTATCTATCATTCTTCTTGATTGATCTTGTAGGAGTTTGAAACACTTTTCTATTCTATTATTGATTGTCTTTATTTTCTTCCTTTTTATTGCTTGTTGAGCTATCGTGTTTTTTATCTTCCATAGCTCCTGTATTTCCTTCAGCCACTAGTACTATTGAATGCGATAATTGGAGATGTTGTGTCTATTGGTTGATGGGTTATTGATTCTCTCTTCGTTTTTGTTTATAATCCCTATCATTTTTGCTAACTTTCCTTCCATTTTGATATCTGGTGTGTTATTGTTCAAGTATCTTTTGTATGTTCTATAGGTCATTTCTATTAAGAGCGTGAGCCTTATCTTGTCTCTATATCTGTAGATATAAATTGTCTTGATATTCATGCTCCTCCTTCATTTTTTTAAGTTATTTTTGCTGGCTTCCAGCAGTATGCTTTTGAAGTGATTCCAGAGCTCTTCCGGTGTGTGAGTTTTGCAGAAGGGAGAAAGTATGGCCTTTTCCTCCACTGCTTTCTTGAAGTCATTTCATTGTTTATTGAATAAGTTTTTATAGTCAATTTGCTTTTTTTGTTATTTTTTCTGATTGCAACTTTGTTCTAGTATTTGTGCAGAATGCTGGTAGTGATTGTAACTATCTTGTGATTTATAGCTATAGTTGTGATCAGTAATATGTGTGATGTGCTGATAATATATTGACCAATGGTCTCTATACCCATATGTAGTCTAGTCTGCTGCCATATGCACTTTTTCTTCTAATATATGTGTAGCTTCTTATGTGTAGGTTTATTATTTTTATATATTTTTTTTTTATTTTTTATTTTTTATTTTTTTTAAATACTAGCTCATCCTTGCGTCAGTTTGGTATCTTTATTAATTAATAAGATACATTCTAGGGACAACCGGGATTACTAGTTACCCATATTGTCTAAGGATTTATAGATCAATAAATAGTACAAAGGGTATCTATTTATGTCTCACCCAACCAGAATAGGGAAACTATATTACCGTCTAGTGTATAATTACTCTTAATACTTAACAAAGTTGAAAGGGGTAGATGCATACTACCAAACTAATAGAACACAACTAATGATCCCTCCTAGCAAACTGGCACTTCCTAGGGGATACCACCGGATAGTCTGTTGCTACCCTTTTGGGGGAACTAACATGCCAAGAACTTGCCTAAGATGCCCAGCACCATCAGTGTTAGGGATTTCTTATACAAGGTCTAAAGACCTTGTTAGCGCTAGAAAAAAAAAAAAGAAAATAGTTGGGAACTGTCTTGTGTCTTGTCTTGAGCGCAGTCTTGTATCACAGAACTTCTGTCACCCATCTCTTGAAAAACTGTTTTGTGTGAACTTGTGTTTTTGTGAGTGGTCAGGTCTGTCTTTGTGCGCAGTCTGTGGGCAAACAGTCCATGGGCTTGTTTATTCTTCCTTGAAGCCAATGATTTAAGAGGTTGCAGTGTCTTGTATTTACTCGCACTATGGCATATGACTTATGGTGGACCCCAGGTTCTTATGGAGCTGAGGAAATGCATTCAGACACGTGAGGTGGCCAATAAAAGTTTGTTTATCAATCTTGTTCAACGCGTTTCGTCGTTGACCAATCAGAATCAGTGGGCTTTGTACTACCCAAAATTTCAGGGTCAAGCTGGGGTAGGCAAAATTCTCCAAAAAGTCATGAAAAGTGGTAGCTCTAAGAGGGCACACAACCTTTCGAAGAGTGGAAATGAGTTCTTTGAATAGGAGAAACCCTCTCTCAGTTACTGTTTTATTCCTCCACTTCATCTGATGGGTGGTGAGTACTATGCCGTTGGTCCTTCTTCCTTGAGAAACTTTCTTGCCATTGGTAGTCAAGGGGAGTGCTGAACTTTGCAGGCTACAAGAGTCCAGTGTTATTTGTAGGAGATTGTAAACAATATGAAGGAAGGTAGTAGAGTCCTGAAGGAGGCCCCTTCAGGTTGGTTTAAAGAAAGTATTAAGACTTTATTAGCATAGAAGTGACAAGACTTC